TACAGTGAGACTCTATACAGTGTTTGTTCATAAAGTAACAAATTAACAACAAAATTAAGAAATAATTTGTTAGAATATTACAAAATAAATGTTATAATTCAAAGAAGTTTGATGCTAATGTAGACAGAAAGACATAATAACGTTTAATAAAATTAAACGTTATTAAAAATAAACTAAAGTTGTTGATTTCTTACAAAATTAGACATTACTAGTATTTGTATAAGTATTTAATTATTTCCTAATGAAAGACCATTATAGTGACAGAATTATTATAATTACTCATTTTCCCCGGACAATCGAGTTTGTTATAACGGTGGTTTGACTATAAAGTTTGACTTTATATTATAATGTCACATTTATAGCAGTATAATATATAATTATGTTATATATTTACTTTTAGAAAGATATTTGCAAATAAAAAAGAGAGGATTAAATGAATAAATATTTTTCTTGTGTTACATATTTGTCGTATAAAATAAAGTAATTAATTATTATAATTAATACTTCGGAGAATATTATGATTGCTATACTTTCGTTAGAATGAGTTGTTCACAAACCATATCTTATTTTTCGATGAAAATAATAAATTAAAAACAATTAATTGTAAATATAAAGAAATTAATGACAAACTAAATTAGAAATTGTAAAGAAGTAACGGTAGTTATTATTTAATAAATTTGACATTAAAATTACTCAATTCAATAAATGAAATAATTCAACAATATTAATATAAAATGAAAATAATAAATTTCTCCATGCTAAAAATTGATAAGAATTCTTCATTTAGAATCTAAATTTTAGATAAAGCATTGATTTATTAATTAATGTATTGTTTTCATATATTTGAAACTTTATAAAGTTATGTAATGAATTATATTTATGTAGACATACAAGTATATAAAATTAATTGTCTTATGAACTAAAAGTTATATTTGTTAATTTTTGCTTATATTTTATTTTTGAAATAAAATTTATCTTAATAATTATATTTTTAAATTAATATAAAATTATCTTTATATAATCCTTATATCAATATAAATTTATATAAAGTATAAGTTAATTATCTATAAAATAATACAGTTATCTTAAAACATTGATATAGCGTTCATTATATCAACGATATCATTAAAATGACCTTGCCTTATACTCTATATAAATTTATAATTTAGTAGACAATATAAAAATTAATTATTAATACTGTAATGTAGTTGAAATAAACACTCGCTCTTTCATAGCTCTTCAATAGTAACCCATATTATGAGTTCTCATAGTCTTTAAGGAAGTAAACAATGGATTCAATCGGCGATTCATTACTTCTGGAGAGCTCTCCATTCCATAACCCGGTGCTCACTATCGGTGACCAAAACCTCAGACAAAAGGTATGCAATAATTAGCGTAAGATCTTATATATTATATAATACTATACTTTATATTATCCATCCTTTCCTTTTGGTATAAATAGCAACTTAATCTTGATTTTAGATTTTAATATATTTCATAAACTATATCGTTATATATCTTTTATTATTTGAGCATTAACTGTAGGCAGGAAAATAGAAATCCGAATCGTTTTGCCCGAATCCTTTTACCCGAATCCTTTTACCCGAATTTTTTTACCCAAATCCTTTTACCCGAATCCTTTTACCCGAATCTTTTTACCCAAATCCTTTTACCCGAATCCTTTNTTACCCGAATCTTTTTACCCAAATCCTTTTACCCGAATCCTTTTACCCGAATCCTTTTACCCGAATCATTTTACCCGAATCCTTTTACCCGAATCCTTTTGCCCGAATCTTTTTGTACCTAGTCTTTTATTATTTGAGCACAAATACAATAGAAATAAATAAAATCAAACATGATTGTTAGTAAACTTTTATGAAGATTTAAAAAATTTTATTAAAGTTTATTGAAAACAAATTTTCAAAATGAAATGATTTATGAACTACTTTATTATAAACTAATGAACCACGTAAAATAATTTTATGACATTTTTGTTTTTAATATAACTTTTTTACCTGCACACGGACAAACCCGAGATTGTGCGGACATATGAACGATGCCAATCAACTCCTTATTTGATTGAAAAAAACTTTTTAGTTTTATTTTATTTTATATGCCGGTTGCCAGCGTCGACCAATTGTTCCATATTATACTTTATGGTCAAAATTGATGTCAGATAATAAAAAGCCTTATCAGATTTTTAAAAAAAAGATTACGATTATGTTTTGTAAATTCAAAAACTGGTCATCTTTTACGACAACAACTGTTGAGACAAAACAGAAAACACTAAAAATACAATACATTTATTTATAAATATTAAACTGCAAAAATATGTTTTAAAATTTTAGTGTAAAATTGCATGGATGCACAGATTGGTTAGAATTAATATAACAAACTATACAATAATTAATTTTTAAAACTTTTATTACAAACAGATCGTTAAATTGTTAAAAGACTATGTCTTAAGTGTTTCAAAATTGAGACGAATTATGGCTATGTTTGAGGAGGAGATGAAACTGGGATTAGAGGCCAAACCCAGTCGTCAATCGGCTTTTTATATGTGTAACACATTTGTGACCGACTGTCCCGACGGTACAGAAGAGGGCGATATTTTGTCAATGGATTTGGGAAACAGTAATTTCAGACTATTGCTAACCCGATTAAAGCCAGGAAAGAAACCGGAGTTTATTGTTAAACACTATGAACTCAGCACAGAATACAGACGCGGCAAACCTGACAAAGTAAACGAGATTTAAATACTGTACAAATTAAATGTATTTTTTTAATGTATTTAAACCAGTTGTTTGATTATTTGGCCGTTTGTATCGAGGATTTCGTCAACACAAACCCAGACATCGGTGGTAAGCGTCTGCCCTTCGGAATGACCTTTTCCTTCGGTTACGATCAGACGGCTCTAAACGTTGGGATTATAAAGCAGTTCGGAATCGACACCGATTTGCCCGAAGCTGTAGATAAGGACGCCGTCAAGTATTTACAGGACGCCATCGACCGGAAGGGTCTCAAAGTAGATGTGCTGTCCATAGCTAACGATACAACGGCCACATTGGCGTACGGCATGTCTCTAAAACCCGACACATATATTGGCTTCATATTAGGTTCGGGTACTAATACTTGTTATCTCGAAAACGTTGACCGAATTGAAAAGATTGATCCGTTGAAGACATTTGGCACCAAAACTGAGAGCGTTATACTGAACCTCGAAAACGGATTTCTAGGAGACAACGGATCCATCGATTTTGTCAAAACTAAATGGGATTTAGAAGTAGACAACGATTCGCTATTTCCTCATAACTATAGGTTAACCTCGAAATTAATATAGCTCTCAACAATTTAGTTTACTTTTAACGTTAATTTCTAAATTAATTATAAAATATCCTAATTTTTAAAAATATATTGACAACAGTTTTGAAAAACTAATCGGCGGTGCATTTATTGGGGATCTTTTCCGTCGGACTCTGTTATCATTAGCAGAAAACCATGTATTTCTTGGAGGAATAATAACGGATCGATTGAAGCAAAAGGACTCTATTAAAGGCCCAGACGTGTCGTCAGTAGAGAGCGATGAAACTGATGGTTCAGTCATAGCATTGTTGCAGAGATTGGGATATTCTTCACAACAGATAACCAAAGATGACATTGAGATCGTTAGATATGTCTGCGCTCTGATCGGTGTCCGTAACGCACAGTTAGCCGCCGCCAGTCAGTAGTCCTTTATTATTATGTCATTATTTTGATTGCTATTTAATATAATATATTTATTCAATTGTTATCTTGATATTAAAACCTTTTTTACTATGTGTTCACCAATCGTTTAGCTCTCTCACCGCTTATTCAGCGCATTGATAAACCAATGGTTAGAATAGCGGCCGACGGCTCGCCGTACAAAAAACACCCAAAACTTCATAAATTGATCACTGATTTCATCAGCGAATTGATTCCCAACAGAAAATTTGAGTTATTTTTAGCCGAAGATGGGAGCGGTAAGGGATCAGCATTTATTGCAGCCGTCGCCGCAAAACAAAGACAAAAATCCTGATTAAATGTATTGATAATATTTTGAATGCCGTGTATTTTTTACATAATAGTGTTTAGAAAAAAATTAAGTAATTAATTAGTAATAAAATTAACAAAATACTGATAAATGTGCTAAAATTATTGCAATAAATCAACAAAAAATTGAGTTGTGACCACTTTTCTAATCAATTCAACAAAAAACGGTTTATCACACAAAATAAGACTACATAAAGTGTACATTTAGTGTTTATAAAATTACTTGTACTGTATTAATAACTATTGTTTGTACTATTATTTGTACTATAACAATAAGGTTAATATTTTAAAATAGGCTATGTTGTTATATGCTTTACAATATACGTAAAATTATTATAATATTGTTTTAATTTATACAAAAATTAGATTTAAATTTAAATAAAAATGAAATGATAATCGATTCTGTTGTTTATACAGAATATGTACAATAAAAGCATATTAGTTGTTATTTTGGACATAAACTACTTATTATGCGACACCGGTTCAACACTATTATCATTGATAATTTATCAATATATCAATTGAATTGTTAAAGTAATGAAATAAACAATGAAAATTTCATTCAATAAAGTCATAAAATTGTTACTTTACGATATTATCTAAAATATTTATAGTATAAAATAAATACCGGAATTATTATATAGAGTGATGTAAGCAATGGTTCATTTTATGTAACAATTATCTAATAATTCATGCGATTAGATAACGAGCACCGATAGGAACGGTAGTACACGTAATGTTAGTCGTTATATAATAAGTGGTGAAAATTCTTGTAAAACTATTGCTAACAGAAGGCAGTGTTTGAATAAAAAACATATTTTTAGTGTTTTATATTTTGAGTGTATGTTTTTAACGCTCCTTTCATAGCAACACATACTTGTATTCACACATCTCTTCCCATAGACTCTCTCACATCGGTTTAGAAGCGAGAAAATGGATTCAATCAGCGATTCATTACTTCTGGAGAGCTCTCCATTCCATAACCCGGTGCTCACTATCGGTGACCAAAATCGCAAACAAAAGGTATGTTATAATTATTTGTATGTTTAATATATAAATCAAACCCTATCTGTGCTCACATACCGTTTCAATCCCTTTAATGATTAACCATTAAAAAACATATACCGGTATATAATTTCAACTGATATTTGAACGCAAATACAAATAAGTAAAAATGAAAAATGATTTTTAATAAACTTTTTGTGATGTGTAAAAATACTTTCCGTATTGCCTTACATCGCAAACCTGTGCTCAAGAATGTTATGATTTTTTTGTGGATTTAGCGCTAAATATATGTTAAAACTGATGTCAAATAATAAAGAAAATCCTTTTCGTAGAAAAAGGAAAATATAAATTATGATTAGTTTTTGTGAGTTTAGAAAAATCTTCCGATAAATACATAAGAAAATAGCAAAGAAAATGCATAAACAGTATTAAAAATAATAAATTATGAAAAATATGCATAAAAATCAAAGGAATTTTAGCCCTAACTCTCGTCGACTTAAATTGATTATAATTTATGGCAAAAAAACAAAATAAAAATTGATTTTTAAAAAAATACTTTTATTCACAAACAGGTCTATGAATTGCTGAAGGAATATGTCTTAACTGTTCCCAAATTGAGACGAATTATGGCTATGTTTGAGGAGGAGATGAGACTGGGATTAGAGACCAAACCCAGTCGTCCGTCGGTTTTCTATATGTGTAACACATTTGTGACCGACTGTCCCGACGGTACCGAAGAGGGCGATGTATTGTCAATGGATTTGGGAAGTACTAACTTAAGACTATTGTTAACCCGATTAAAGCCGGGAAAGGAGCCCGAGTTTAGTGTTAAACACTATGATATAAATACAGAACACAGACGCGGCAAACCTGAGAAAGTAACTAATATATCATTTAATTGAAATGACAGCAAATGTTTAATTCTTATTGAATTATTTACTAGTTATTTGATTATCTGGCCGTTTGTATTGAGGATTTTGTTAACACAAACCCAGACATCGGTGGTAAGCGTCTGCCCTTCGGAATGACCTTTTCCTTCGGTTACGATCAGACGGCTCTAAACGTTGGGATTATAAAGCAGTTCGGAATCGACACCGATTTGCCCGAAGCTATTGGTAAAGACGCCGTCAAGTATTTACAGGACGCCATCGACCGAAAGGGTCTCAAAGTGGATGTACTGTCTGTTTCTAACGACACAACGGCCACATTGGCGTACGGCATGTATCTAAAGCCCGATACATATATTGGTTTCATATTAGGTTCGGGTACTAATACTTGTTATCTCGAAAACGTGGACCGAATTGAAAAGATTGATCCGTTGAAGACATTTGGCACCAAAACTGAGAGCGTTATACTGAACCTCGAAAACGGATTTTTAGGAGACAACGGATCCATCGATTTTGTCAAAACTAAATGGGATTTAGAAATAGACAACGAATCACTGTTTCCTCATAATTACGGGTACTTTAATATATAATCCAATTATTGCAAAGATTTTATTTATACAATATATTAATTTATAAAATATATTAACAATAGTTTCGAGAAACTACTCGGTGGTGTATGGATTGGAGATCTTGTCCGTCGGTCTCTGTTATCATTATCAGAAAACCATGTATTTCTTGGGGGAGTCATAAGGAATGAATTGAAAGAAAAAGACTCTATTAAAGGCCCAGACGTGTCATTAATAGAGAGCGACAAAACTGATGGTTCAGTCATAGCATTGTTGCAGAGATTGGGATATTCTTCACAACAGATAACCAAAGATGACATTGAGATCGTTAGATATGTCTGCGCTCTGATCGGTGTCCGTAACGCACAGTTAGCCGCCGCCAGTCAGTAGTCCTTTATTATTATTGTTATTTTTATATATTGTACTCTTTTTACGTTATTTAATTGCTGTTTCTTATTATCCCTTTCCTTACGATGTGTTTACCAATCGTTTAGATCTCTCAGCGGTTGTCCAACGCATTGATAAACCAATGGTTAGAATAGCGATTGACGGCTCGCTATATAAAAAACACCCTAAACTTCATAAATTGATGACTGATTTCATCGGCGAATTGATTCCCAACAGAAAGTTTGAGTTATTCTTAGCCGAAGACGGAAGCGGTAAGGGATCCGCGTTTATCGCAGCCGTCGCCGCAAAACATCGTCAAAAGTCTTGATTAAATGTATTGATTAGAAATTCAAATGACTTATATTTTTGAAACTTTTATATATTTGTTTTTATTAAAAATAAACATTAATAAAAATGATTTACGAAATATTAACTTTTGCCTCAATTTATTTAATAATATTTCAGGAAATTTTTGTTTTCTTCATTTGTCTAATGAATGATTGTTCGGATTTATGGCTCAATAACTGGTTTCCCTTTTCTGAAAGATTCACATTTAGGTCTCAATTAAGAATTAATCAGAAGTTTTGTTACTTTTCATACATTGACGTCAAACATAACGTTACAATCAATACTCTACTCTTGATTGAGAATAGCATCATTACATTTTGAATAGACCTTAATCAGATCTTAATTACACCTACATGCATTTTCAATAATTTCCTCGTTTATCGCATATTTTGTGATATATCTCCGAAACATCACTTTTTGGTCAAATAATTTGAAATACTGCTAAATAAACACTTTATATGACTATTTTATAGATTTATATAACTTTAAATAATTTATATGAAACGATATTTTTAGTTATGAAATGCAATAATAATATTACATTTTGATTATTATTCTTTAAATTAAATTATGTTTTTATTTTTGGACACTAATATAATGTTTAAATAGCAAAATACTAGGAATAATCTTAAGGATAGTCTAAGTTTTAATACAATGAATTGAAATGTGTTTAACATTTGATCATTTAATTGAATTGTACTGTTGGACACAATATACACAGTATTGTACTGTTTATATCTATTTGAATTGATTTACATATGATAAGTGTTTGGTTTGTGGTCGATGTCAAGCGATTAATCTTTAAACAAGCGGTGATATCACTGCAGAAGTGACCGATCGATACGAAGCATTGTTCTCAACGACAAGACATAATGAAAAACAATAACTTTTAATAGAAATAAGAGTTTTCGGAAGAAAGCAATCAAAACAATAGACAATAAAGTAATTAATTCTAGCATTTGTTTTGGCTTTGAGTTCAGACTTTTCCTATCATTTATAATATCTAAACATACAGTGAATAAACTCAAGACTCGAGTCTATTATTATTTCCTGATTTTCTGCAGACATTACTCAACAGACGAGTTGAAGAAGAAAAAGTTGTAAAACAAATACAAACATTGATTAAAGTTTTCAACTACAACAAGGTATTTAAAATAAACAAGGTGTAATCAAGTAATTTAACTCATTACAATAGAAATTACAATAAAAATTTTGTGTCAACAACAATGTTGTCAAACATCATGAATTTAATTTGAAAGGTAATATGAAAGTATCATGTTGTTATAACTTTGATCAATGAAATATATCATAAACAATAATTAGCATTGAAAATAAATTACTGTTTTATTAAATGTTAATCCACAAATATTTTTGTTAATACAATTTTGAATTAAATATTTGGAAAATTAATATTTAAAAATTATTTTTATGGAAAACACATGAAACGTGTTTTACAGTATTGTTTAGATAACAGGAATTTAAAAATAAAAGTATATTTATTTGCATAATACAGTATTTGATAAAATCAATTCCCTTCCTAAATAATAATTAAAATTTATGGTCATTAAAATTCCATTACATTAACAGTAATATGTTTGCTGTTAAAATTGAAATTATTTTTGAGCCCTAGGACAATTCAATTTGTTTTTGCAGACCATTAATGTCAATAAACCGATTGAAGTGTTCATTACATTCATTCATTAAAACTAATTATCACTTATTTTTTATAAAAGTGTAAATAATATTATTTAAATGTCTCACAACCTCTACATATGGTAATCGCAGCCTTCTATGCATATCATAGGAGTCACGAGATTTGCATACAAACTATCGCTTAAAACTATCTCTTTTTAATCTGTTGTTTGTTTTTTATTATAAAATTAATTTTTAATTCAAATTTTATTCAAATTTTGCGGTATATTTTATGCCTGTTTTTAATACAGGACTTTATAATAAGCCTTGAAATGAATTCCGTGGATGATATCCATTACTGTACACCATATAAAAGTATACGAAAGGAGTTTCTTGTATATTATATTAG